CTGGCTCTTTTTCTCCCTCCCCGAGGCAAGCGTTTGCTCCTGCTGTGTATCTCTCAGGTAGTCCACCAGCAGATGAAAAACACCCACCTCTCCGCCTCTTCCAAGGAACGAGGGGACCGTGCGGCAGAGTTTCCGTTAAAAAATGTTCCGCCGGTCAATATGTCCGTTAAAGTTTAAATCTTCCGTACAAAATTAGAAAAGTGCCGGTCAGAGGTCTTCATTGTTATTTATTGAGCTTTAAAACAAATTGATAAGGACTCTGTTCTCTGTATAATAATATTTAATAAACGGTGCCTGCCTCTCTTTTCCTCCCCCTCTTCTGACAGCCCAGCAGCAGCAGGAGACGTGGGGAGAGGGAGGCGGGCTATTTAATCGTTATCAGAAAATGATCATATAGGGCTTGCACACGGAGCCGTTGGACCCCCAGAGCGTTGCGTATGCCGGTCTACCCACCTTGGGACCCTCCCCCCCCCCACACACAGAGCGGAGCAAGGCAACGAAACTTAAAATAATAAGCAGCATTTTACGGCGCGCTATGCATGGGGCCGCCTTGTGGGGTTTCCCGACATGTCGTTTCAGTAAATTAAAGGGTGTTTCATGTTGTTGCTGTCAACCTTCTTAATACCTTGGAAAATGCCGTTTAATACTTTTTAATACTTTTTAATAGCCTTAATTTTCGCTAAATTGATTTATCAACTTTTAATACTTTTTAAGACCCCGCGGACACCCTGAATTGGCAAATTAATCAATAATGAAATAATTGGAAGTTTTAGCTATATTGTTTGCAACTTTAAGCAGCAAAAACTAATACAAGAGAAAATCAGAGCGGCGAAGAAGACAAAGAAGGATTAAGGGAGGAATAAAGTCTTACCTAAAGGGGAAGTGAAACGGGAACAAAAAGTTGTGTTCACACGTCATAGATAGTGAGTCAATTCAGTTATTGACACTTTGATCAGTTAACAAAAGTCTATTCCCAAAGTTGCACCAAAAGCAACAAAGCATGAAAAACCAGGTTAAAAGGAAAAACACAATCACTTAAATCGATAACTGGTTCCGACACTGCATCTAATCTACATACATACATAGAGCCAGTAGTAAAGATTCAGTTTTATTTTCCCATGCATAAAAATTCACA